AAAAAAAAGTTTTCATCAAGACCTAGGCCCAAGTGTGTGTGTGTGTGTGTGTGTGTGTGTGTATGAGTGTGTGTGTGTGCGGGCGCGCGCGCGTGTGTGTGCATGTGTGTGTGCGAGGTGAGGCTGGCTGGCCTGCAGGGTCTCAGTGCTGTGCAGAGCTGACGCGCCAGTCGCAGTCACCGTCACTGAAACAATTACTGTAAAACTAATGATTGCTGTCTAACTTGGCTGTCTTCCGTTATTTTGTTGGCTTCACTGTAATATTATAATTATAGCATTCGTTCAAATTCCAAGAGATCAGATTTGGTTTTGCAAAAACACACGTAAATAATTATGAGATCAAAACAGTTGATTACACATAAGTATGTAGGTTATATGAATTATTTTTAAGCGCAATTCTTATTTTTAAAACAAAGTAAGATTAAATACATTTTGCGCAGAAACAAACTATTAGAGGCTTATAGTAATCCCACAACGTTTGTTTTCCGAAGCCGGAAGTCGAAGAGCTAAACATAGAAGTAGTCAGCCCAAAACCTATGACCCTGTAGGCTATAAGAGCATAAGAAGTCGTAGCTTCACTCTATGTAAAGTCAAGGTCAAAGTCACAGTCACAGTCGACTTTTAGAGTTTGACGAAAACGTCGAGTCGACTTTCCGACTTTCTTATTCGCCGACTTTGCCCTTGCTTACCGACAACCCAGGGTCTATATATGGTAACCGGCCCCAGGCACCACTACCGAGTACCAGTCAACAGCATCATGATTACTTCCACCACCACTACAGCATCATCATTACTTCCACCACCATTTGTCTTTCCACATGTGAAATTTCATTTTATTGTGTGTTATAGTTTTTCTGTAATTTTATTATTTTTTAAAATCACATCTCACAAAATCGACAGCATTGGCCTCTTCCCAAACCTCTTCCCCCAGCAAGCCGAGAGTGTGTGATCGCTACACGCGATCTCATTGGTGGACATATTTAACGTTGTTCCCAGCAAGATAAACTCAACTTGGTTGTTCTGTTCATACTAATGATGCAGGGAGGGCCAGTTTAGATAATCTAGTAACTGGATATTAAAGCTCCCATCTCGATTGTTATCATTATAATCGAAAAAATTTTCATAAATGCTGGAAATAGTTAGGAACAAGGATAGATCTAGCTGTTTGGTAATTGCCAAATATATATGTAGTGAAATCTGGGTGTGATATATTCTATTGTGTAAATTCATCAGTCCGTACTCTGCCTAATCGGCCCCTTTTTTTCGTTGTGTGTTTTGGACTTGCCCGTACACTGGTATCAATGGGGTATTTATGCATTCAGGCTTTTTTTTCTTTCCTTCGTTCCTCTGGGGTTTTACACATGTTTTTATTGTAGAAAATTGAAAACTAATAAAAAGAAAGAAGTCGGAAGTGACATCATGCTGGACTCAATTCAGAGTCGGAATGTAATTTTGGTTTTATCAAAACTCAAATCTGAATAGTCACCTCGGGAAAAAAAGTTATGTTGAAATTTGGATGGACTTACGTAGCAAGCGACCACCCCAACCAACATAATAAAGATTGACCCTACCCCAACTCCTACCCCCAACCCTTTCCCTAAAAACCCTACCCCAACCCTTACCCTAATCCTCCATTTATTTCATAGTGGGTGGTCGCTCATTATGGAATTCCTCCTTGCGATTCGTCTAAGATGGCCACCTATTGTTGAGTAGAAAAGTGATCGTCTTTAGGAAGGATTTATCAAAATGAAGGAAACTAACCTTTCCCGTTCCCTTCTGAGGTCCCAACTGGAGATGGATGCAGGCTTAGGTTGCAAAGGCCCATAAAAATTAAATGTTTTTGTTTATTTGGTTTGAGTGTTTTACGGTACCGCACTTACAAAGTCTGCATACTGTCATATGAGCTCGTGGGTAACAGACACATTATTTTGAATTTTGTCTAGGGGGCGGCCGTACCCTACTTTTATTGATTTTGGACCACCAAGGTATCTTTATTTTAATGTGTACAACTTGCACACATGACCTCTGAGATTTTTCGCCCGTATCCGAGAAGGCTAAGTGTTTGATTTTACCTACCTTAAGGTTAGGGGCGTGGCTGAAGGACATCAGTAAAAAGGATCCAAGGAGTAGCAGTAGAAAGGCTGCAGAAAGCGTTAAGAGCCCAGAGGATGGGGCAAAGGAGGTGAAACAAGACAATTTTAAGAGAAGAAAATTTTCTGTCACTGCCTGGATTCTACCATAAGGACAGGGGCCCCCATCTTCTGTGTTCAATGGCTAAGTGCCGAACTGCTATGCCGTGGGTGCCAGGGTGGTCTTGTTTTACAGTGTAGTAAACTAGTACAAGGGCCACATTTAGTCCTGATGCTGGATAAAAATAGATTTGCCTTACTCCCAAGAAGATTTTTATATATTTGTAGTTGTATAATAAAACCAGACAATTCATGAATTATGACCATGTGGTTGTTGCTCTGTGACAATCCTGAAATTCATTGGTTTCGTAATTTTTTTCATGTTTGTATTTTGTTATTCCTTTCACAGAAATGTTTGAAAGAGCAATTGAAGTGCAGCTTCGTGGAAAGTCTGTACGAATTCCTCTATGGTTGCTCCTGGCAGCTGGAGCTGGAGTAGCCTGGTTCACTTACAATCAGAAAGTGAAAAAAAAATCAGCACTGGTGAGTGTATTTTTGGATGCAATAGCTCAACCCGTACCTATTGCAATAAACATGATAAGATTGCTGTTATATATTATGTTCAAGCTGTAAGATTTACAGTTACAGTCTATTAAGAGGTCCAGCTACTTACAAAAGCTATTTTCGTTATTAATGAATCTTTTCAAACTAAACTTTCACATAATATGCAGTACCCTCCCGGAAATAATTCAAAACATAAAAACAAAAAATTAAAGCCCAATATGTTATGTTATATCGGCAGCCATATCGAAATTATATAATACTTAGGAAAATCCTAAAATTTTGAAAACCAAAAGGCAATGTTAATTTTAAAAAACCCAAATATCAATTTAGTAGAAATAGTTATAGGTAACTGACTGGTATTTTAAAATCTTTTTCCTATATTCTGGAATTTCTCTGACTTTCAAAGTGAGGTATTTTTTTGGGTTAAAATTTTGAGCATAAAATTACTTTCAGAAGCAGATTTCTCCGGCAGTAACTATTTTTTAAGATAAAAAATCTTGTCAGTGGCCTGCAACAACCAAATCTGCACATGTGTAAAAAGTTTCAGCTCAGGCAAGGAGTGGTAAATTGGAATGTACGAAAGAAGAACTCGATGCTTATGTTAAGCAGACGTACAGCGATTAAAGAAGAGTAGTACCATTACCTTATATGAGAGACCTGAAGCGTCCAGCTGCCCCCGTCGTCAAATATTACCTGGGACCAATTAGAGAGAAAGAAGTAGATGAGTTTGTAAAAAAAGCAAGATCAAAAAGTGCACCTGGAGGAGATGGCGCGTCTTATAAGGTGTTCAAGTATAGCGACACGCTGAGACACACCCCCTTTGAGATGCAAAGAGGCCTTTGGAAAGACAAAGAAATCGTCAAAGATTGGTGCAGAGCGGAGGGCGTGTATCTACCCAAAGAACAGAATGCAAAGGAGATAGGACAGTTCAGACCTATTTCAATCATCAATGTGACGTGCAAGATCTTTATGGGAATACTTGCAAAGAGGACTGTAGCATATTTGCAAAGTAACGGCTATGTGGATGAAAGGGTTCAGAAAGCCGGGGTACCAGGGATCCCAGGCTGCATCGAGCATGCTTTCACCATTAGGGACACAATCCAAGAGGCCAAGGAAAACAAGGAAAGTTTTTAAAGTAGTGTGGTTGGATCTTGTGAATGCCTACGGGTCTGTTCCCCATAAATTACTGATGAAGGCAATGGATTTTTTGTACGTCCCGCAAGAGGTGCAAGATTGCGTTCGTTCTGCAAGGAAGCAAGGTTACCGAAAGAAAGAAAGCGAACGAAGCCATGGAAGACCAGAGCGGAGGCACATGGGAGGTAGCCGCTGACTTAAAGGGCTTTGAGAGATTCTTCCCCATTCCAACTACGAAAAAGCCAGACATTGTCTTATGGGAGGAAAAAGACAAAGAGGTGCACTTGGTAGAGCTCACGGTGCCCCACGAGGACAATATCTATGCCGCTCATGAGCGGAAAGAAAACCGTTACAAGGCACTCGTCGAACAATGTGAGGAGGCAGGATGGAAGGCAACCCATTTTCCGGTAGAGGTAGGATGCAGAGGTTTTGTAGCAACAAGCGCCCGTAAATGGATGAGAGTGACAGGACTTACTGCAAAGAAAAGCAACCAACTCACAAACTCCCTTCAGGAGACAGCAGAGAAAGCCAGTCACTGGATCTGGTTGAAGCGAGAGGACGCAGGCTGGAATGAATCCTAAAGTTGGCAGCAGAGGAAAACAGTCGAACTAACATGGAGACCTCACATCGGTGAGGGGGCTCGGTGCGTCAGAAAAGCGGAAGAGAGGAAGAGCCCGAAACAGCGACGCATTCTCTCCTGATGATCTCCATGCTAGAGTCCGGGATACGGAGCGTTCGGCTGTGAGCAGTGCATTTTGGCTGTTTAGACTACGTCTTGATTAGTGGATGAGATTTTAGGATTCTAGTAAAATAGGGTCTTTCAAAAATAGTTTTGAGAAAAACGCATTTAAAAATGTCACTGTAATTTGAGGGTTTGTTCCTTTTAGCTAGAGGTTGCAGTACCATATGCACTTTTATTTCTAATTACACGTAAAATCTAATTTCTGTACAGTTACAAATAGCCTCATTTATAGAAGCTTAGTGAACCAAGTAGACACAAAATAACAAAAAAGAAAGAAAAAGTGCCCAATTGGTCATTTTTGCATAAGGGGGATGAAGTCATTTAAGACATATTTTCACCTATTTTATCATTTTTTTACCAAATGGACCAGAAAATCTGATTCAGCAATGATCAAGGGTGTTAAAAAGCTGCTTTCCAGAAAATCAATAATTTCATCGTAAATTGACCCAAAACGTTACCAGCTAGACCCCTTAAGGCTTTTTAAAGATTGCTTTTCTTACAAATTTTGAACGATACCATTGTTTCATTTTTTGGCTGTCATTGTGAGATTTAATTTGAGGCTACATTTTCTCTTTTGATTGAAGAGGCATGATGATGAATCTGTGGTCAAGACAATAAATTATGATCTTTACCTACAACCCTTCTCCCACCGAGACCTAACATTGACAACACACTCTATGGAACATTACAGCAACTGCAGCAAACCTGCACTTATCACTACATGGCATTGGACAGAAGGGCAAGAGCCCAGCTGTTGCTGAATCAATAGCAACAACAACAACAACATGATCTTTACATACATAGTGATATTTGTGGGTCTAGAGATGTAATAGGTGGGACTGGCTTAGGCTTTGGGCTGGTCCCAGAGTGGCTCTGTAGGTCTGCCCTGTAGCTCGCATAGCGCGCGCCGTGTAAATGAACATATAAATTATCGTGCGCTTGAGCAGCGCCGCTCTGTTGTAAAACACATCTTGCACACAACCTGGCTTCATGTTCATTTTCGGCTGAAATTCTTCACAGGTCATCAAAATCTGCAAGAAGTAAGTATTATTAGGTGCTTTGCTATTAGATATTGATGCTAGCATCAGCACTTGACCTCAAAATCCCAGGAAATGCACTTTGTCATACATTAAAATTTCGAATCGAAAGGTTGACCTAGTTTCAACTGTTTGTTTACATTCGTAGGCCTGTGTACTTCTAGGCTAGAATCTATATCTAGATTGATAGTTCAGGAGTTGAGATGCAGAGGGATGTTCCTAGAATGGCCTAGATTCTAGATATACGAGGGACGTCCAGAGAGTAAGTACCATTTTAAGATAATTATAAAAGAAATAACTTTCCCAATCAGAACGATTTATTCTTGAATACCTCATATTTATGACTACTTCTCCTCGTAGTCACCCGAACAGTTGAGGCATTTGTTGTTGCGTGGGACGAGCTGAATGCCCTCATCGTGGAAAGCTGCCGCCCGCGATGTCAGCCAATGTCCAGTCTCTCCTTTGAGATCAATGTCTGAGTCGAAGTCCTGCCCGGCCCAAAACTTTTTCAAATGCAGGAACTGATGAAAGTCACTCGGAGCCAGGTCTGGGCTGTACGATGGGTACTTCAACTGTTCACATCTGAAAGAGGCGATCAGGTTTTGGGTCTGTGCAGACTTGTGAAAAGTTGCATTGTCGTGAAGCAGAACAATGCCGTTGCTAAGCATTCCGCGTCTTTGGTTTGAATCACTCTACGCAGGCCGTGTCAGGAAAAAAGTCATGTGTACAGTGTTTGGGGACAGGCAAGGAGTTCTTTCAGTAGAATTTGGGGGAAATGGGATGACAATTAACTCTGATGTGTACTGCAGCACACATTTAAAAACTGCGTAGAACGATTCAAAACAAAAGACACAGAATGCTTAGCGACAGCGTTGTTCTGCTTCACGACAATGCAACTCCTCACATGTCTGCACAGACCCAAAACCTGATCGCCACCTTCGGATGGGAACAGTTGAAGAACCCATTGTACACCCATTGACTTTCATCTGTTCCTGCATTTGAAAATGTTTTTGGCCCGGCAGGACTTCGACTCAGACGCTGATCTCACAGGAGAGACTGGACATTGGCTGACATCGCAGATGGCAGCTTTTCACGATGAGGGCATTCAGAAGCTCGTCTCCCGCTACAAAATACCTCAACAGTTCTGATGAGTATGTGGAGAAGTAGTCATATATATGAGGTATTAAAAAATAAATAATTTTGATTGGGAAAATGATTTCTTTTATAATTATTAAAAAACGGTACTTACTGTCTGGACGTCCCTCGTAGATAATAATAATTTACATCTGATCTAGATCTACATTTAAAGCATTCACCATCTATCTAAATATCTGATGTGCAGTGCCCGGAAACAGATCTCAAAGCAAGGGCTAGATAAGGATGAAAGAATATCATACCGTATGAGGAGATTGGACTTATGAAAGAAGGAAAACAAACCAGACGAGCGAGGAGACAGGATTGAAGCAGAGAATGCGTATACAACGCTCACACTGGGTTCCCAGAGGTCTTAAGAAAAGTCCTTTAAAATTAAAGCCCTTAGTTTTTGTCAAAACAAAATTAAGGATCTAAAGTCATTAATTTTTTATGCCGGATTGTCACATCCTTATATAATAAAAGATCCTTTAATTTGGCTATATTTGTCAAAATAAGGTCATGGAAATTGTGGATGGTGCTCCTTCAAGGCTGTTGCATCGCATAACATGGCACACAGCACACAGTACATAGCGCGGCAGACCCGTCAGTTGCCACATTCCACAGATGCCAACCCACAGTTCGCCTGTGCTACACGCAGAGGGCACACGCTAGGCCAGCTACAGGTCAGACCTACAGAGGCACTCTGGGACGGGCCTTAAAGTGCTCACACTCACAGACACACTTGCATGCACATGCACAGATGCAGTACCATTAGTTTTAATAAACAAATTAGTTTAGTGACTCTAGAAACCTTACAGAGGTAGTTGCTGTTGAGTTTATAGATCTAACACTGATTGGTAGTTGTGACTCTCAACCATAAAAAATGTTACTTGTGGTGAGTAGATACATACTTACTTGATACAACTTGGATGGAATTAAAGGAGAGCTTAATAATCCTTAGCAGGCACAATACTGTTGTTGAGTTCCACTCTCAAATTGATTTTGAACTCTCGAAAGATTTTTATAATGGATTCTTAATCGAGCACATCTGTTATCTACAGTTCTGCGAAAGATGACACATAGCTATTAGGGTAATATTTTTGAGTTGCAGTTACCTTTTCTGTGTTTTTCAGATATCAGATGAAAACTCTACCTCTGTGTCTTCTGTTTCAAAGACGGTGCCTGAAACAGCTAAAACTGGTTCAAAGGATAAACAGAAGCGAAAACTCACAATTCTCTATGGATCTCAGACAGGAAAAGCGAAGGTGAAATGAAAATATGGTTATCAAAAGAAAGCTGGATTTGTCTGATTTGTCTTGGGGGATTGGTCAGTTGGCTTTCCTACCACTGATTTTTCATTGTTGTCTCACTGTTTTCAGGGCTCCTGTACAGGTGGTTGGTCAGCAGCTTCTTTTCAGGGTCACAATTATCTTAATCTCTTCCTTGGGAAATAGTGCCATTTTGTACATGCTCACTAGTAAGTGAGAATCTGCATCAACTCTTGGCATTTTCTGATCGTAAATGGTAGTAAATGTGCCTTGAATGTAGTAAACATTTGGTAAACAGTCGTAAATTAACCTGTGTACAGAGGGATGAAGCCAGCAAGACTTTTCAGTGAAGGTCAATAAGTTCATTTTTGCTGGTCGTAATTGTGATATTATATTTGTTCAGCTTTTCCCTGTCTGAGAGTACGTTTCACGCGGCTATGGCGGCAGGCGGAAGTGTATGTGATCCAAGGCTCAATCGGGAAAATGAAGATCTACTTTTGCTTTTGTTACCACCCAGAAATTTGATGACGATAGACTGGTAACGCAACATTTATGTCATGCAGGTTGTGCAGTATAAACGCTGTGTTGTCGTGTAAATAAAATTTAATCAATATTTGGACTCGTCTCTGTGCTTTCACTTGTGGGAAAAAAAAGAAAAGAAAATACAAGCATTGTCCGATTTTTAGATTATCGGGCTCACCATCGTGACCTGTCCGTGAACCTGCGCGCTTCGCATCGCAAATAAATGCGGCATAGTGCGAGTACTGGGGGGGGGGTGTGATGTGGAAGGCAACACCAGAGAGGAGAAATACTTAGAAGCAAATTTCTGTATTTTGACTTGATTTAGAGCTCTCTACAAAGTGCGTGTTGGTGCAGGTCATATGCGGAATCGGGACCCTTCATACTTTGTAAGCTGTATTATTGAAATAAAGTGTTTGCGTTTCATTGGGTTGGTGATAGTAAATTATAACTCCAGTGTATATTGCAGCTTTCTGTTTAAGACTGGCAGATTTTCAGTGTCACTGCATCTTGCCGTTCCACAGTTTTTACAACTCTCACACTTACTTATTTGTCCTTACTTGTCCACTGTGTTGGGGTCACTGCAGTCGGAACATGTCCATCTCCCTCTTCAGGATCCATCCCAGAGTCTGTCTACTTATAGTTTCCATCATGATCTGGTTGGAGATCCATCGGACTGGTCCGCACAGATGGCTGTGTTTCCCTTCTCCTCTTTGGATCCCCTTCTCCTTCAGTCTCCCGAGAGTGTGGGAACCGCTATCCGCCCTATTCTTCCTCAAATTTTCCCTTACAGCGGTTAGGACGGTTGGTGGGTCCAGTGTCAAATTCCCTCCCACTTTTGCTTCTCCAGCCAGCTTGTCTGCTCTCTCGTTGCCGGTTACCCCCGCGTGACCCGGGCAGAAGATCCAGGCCACTCTTTCCAGGCTGCTCTCCCTGATCGTAGCCTTCCTGTCCACATACAGCATCCCTTTCTGCACCTTCTGCAGCGTGCTTATTGAGTCAGTAATGATTACTGCTCGCTGATGGCTAGTGTTCTTGATCCAGTGTAGAGCTTCACTTATCGCTTTTATCTCCATACACATACTTGATGTTGTCAGTGCAGTTGCTCCACTGTGCTCTTTCACTACTACCCCATCAACTCTGACACTGAAGGCCCAGCCCGATTTGACTCCTCTGTTGACTGATCCATCCGTGAAGATCACAGCATCTCCATGTTCGCTATGCTTTTCTATCAGGGTTTCAATTTCAGCGTTTGTAGCTCCAAGTGGCCAGTTGCAACATTCTCTACCTAATGTTGCCTTCACTGTTGTAATTTTTGTTCCATATATGTAACATTAATATGTTATCGATGTCGCAAATGAACTCCCTTTTTCGAGCTGACGTGGAGCTTGATTTGCTGGGGAGTAAATTGGCTGGACGCCCTGTTTGTTCTTCTTAAAAGTATGAAACTGTGCACTCATGTGACCATAATCCACACAGAAAAGGTTTTAAATATCTTCTCTAAAGTTCTTTTTGTTATTGTGTTAACTTATTTATTTGTCCCTACTTTCACAGGGTTTTGCTGAGAAACTGGGGGCTACAGTCAAGCAGCTGGGCTACGATGCCACAGCGATAGATTTGAAGAATTATGACCATGAAAACTTATTTCAGGCTCAGGTATGTTACTGGGGAGTGTTTAATTTTTTAAAAGGACTGGAAAGAACTCCAGAATACCATTTTTTAAAAACCCTTGGTGGCTATTGTGGCTTCAGTGATTATGAATACTGCTTTATAACTCACCTGAAATAATTGAAGCATCTTGATGGCACCTGTTGTGTATGGGACTTATCAAGATTATTGTCCTTCCCTGTTTTAAGGGAGCTACCTCCCGTCACTTTAAGACATGCGCAGTAGCGACTAGTGGGTTGAGTTATAAAGTTCAGTTTGCTGTCCGAGATTCGTGTGGTGAATGGTTATTATTGTGCTCGTGTCAGTTAGTGAAGTGTTCTGGATTAAAGTGAAACCAAAGTAGACAAACATGGTGTCAGAAGTGCGTTGTGTTGTGTAAAATTGTGTCTGAAGTGTAGACACATTCACAGGTAAACGTATCAAGAAGAATTTCTTACAAACAAGACAAGGTATGTTAGAAAATGTGGTTTAAACCCCCTGAACTGTTAGCATTCCACGAACCGTCAACATGGCCCTCTTGGAGAAAAAGATTCTGCCGGTTTCGACTGGCATCGAAAATGAGTAAAGAGGATGGTGAAATTCAGGTTAGTTCTCTTCTCTATGCAATGGGGGCGGAAGCAGAACTAATTTTTGCCCAGTTCCAGTTGTCAGAGGAACAGCAAAAAAATTTTGACACAGTTTTGACAAAGCTGAACGAATATTTCGTCCCCAAAAGAAATGTTATACACATCCTTGCTAAGTTTCACAGAAGAAATCAGAAGTAAGGTGAAAGTGTGAAACAGAACATACGTAGTTCATATGAGCTTGCAGAGCATGCACAGTTTGGGGAAAAAGAGGAGACCATCAGGAATAGACTAGTCTTAGGTCTCAACAATAAGGACTTGTCAGAAAAGCTTAAACTTGAGGGAGATTTTACCTAGAAAAAAGCCTTTGAAATAGCAAAACAACTCGAGCAGGTCAAGCAGGAACTCGAATAATAAAGGTCAGCCAGTCAAGAAATAGATAAGGTGCATCAGTACAAAAATGCACAGTCCCAGTTTGGAAGAAAGAAATATCAGCCACATACCGAAAAAACCCACTGCGGGAAATGTGGACTATCCCACGACCAAGGGTGTCAAAAGGAAAGCAGTGTCACAAGTGTGGAAAAATGTCCCATTTGGCCAAGGTGTGCAGAACACCAAAGAGCAAGATCCAAGGGTTAGAGAAATTGAAACCAGAGATAGGGAAACAGAGGAAACCTTCCTGATAGGGGCAGTGAAATCTTCAAACAAAAATGCGTGGAGGGTCGAACTAGAAGTGGAGGGACGGCCAGACAACTTCAACTTTGATACAGGTGCAGACGTCAACGTCACCAGCAAGGAGACTTGGGTCAAGATAGGAAAACCAAAGCTGCCAAAATGTGACCACGTCAAACTCATGAGTCCTTGGGGCCGGGCCGAATTAATCAACTAGGTCGCTTCCAGACGACATCTAGTCTAAGTCAACGGCAATATATATCATCAACGGTCAAGCGGAAAGCCTGCTTAGTCGGGATACGTCTACATCCCTGGACCTTATACAAAGACTTCAAGTCGACGAAACTACGCTCTCCACCGCGAACTGCAAATCAGTTCGCATCAAACTGAAGGAAGGAGCACAGCCCTACAGCATCACCACCGCCAGGAGAGTCCCTATACTGCTTCAAGAAAAGGTGAAGAAGGAGCTAAAAGCGAGGAAGGACAGCGGCATCATTGAAGAAATCACTGAACCGACAGATTGGTGCAACAGCATGGTACCAGTGATCAAGCCAAATGGAGCAGTGAGGATATGTGTTGACTTGAAGAAACTAAACAATGCAGTCCAAAGGGAACGGTATGTCATACTGACGACAGAAGAAGTCATCCATAAACTAACTGGTTCAAAGATATTCTCTAAGCTAGATGCCAAATCTGGATTTTGGCAAATCCCCTTGGACAAAGACTGTGAAGCTTACATCCTTCATCACACCATTTGGTCGATTTTTCATGAGAAGGCTGCCATTTGAAATATCAAACGCTCCAGAAATCTTCCAGAGGATCATGACAGAAATCCTTTGACAGCATAGATGGTGTCATCTGCTACTTTGAAGACACTATACTACATTCGAAGACGGGGGGTGAACATGAAAAACTCCTGGAGAGGGTCAACCAGCGATTGAAGGAAGCAGGGTTAAAACTGAATGAGGAGAAGTGTGAATACAAGAGGACAGAAATCAAGTTCCTCGGGCATGTTATCAACAGTGAAGGCGTGAAACCAGACCCTGCCAAAATAAAGGCGATTCAGAAGCTGAAGGAGCCAAGCAATGTGGAGGAGGTGAGGAGATTCCTGGGAATGGTGAACTACCTTGGCAGATACATACCACACGTGGCCACAGTTTTGAAACCACTCAATGACCTCTTGAAGAATGAAATGACTTGGAGTTGGGACAGCAAGCAAGACTGAAGCATTCAAGAATGTCAAGGAGATGCTCAACACAGCTCCAACGCTGGCTTATTATGACCCAATGAAACCAACCACTGTCTCTGCAGATGCTAACAGCTATGGCCTTGGAGGCGTTCTCCTTCAGAAACACGACAACGGTCTTCGCCCAGTTGCATACGCCTCAAGGACACTGACTAAAGCTGAAGAAAAATATGCACAGATCGAGAAAGAGTGCCTGGCATCAGTGTGGGCCTTCGAAAGATTTGATAAGTACCTTATGGGCTTGGAAACGTTCACACTTGGAACAGATCACAAGCCGCTTGTCCCAATCATCAACAACAAGGACTTGTCAGATACCCCGCTGAGATGCCAACGTCTGCTCGTGAGGCTAATGAGGTTCAAACGCGAATGCGTACACGGGCCAGGCAAAGACATGATCATCGCAGACACTTTGTCCAGGAGACCACTGACTACAAAGGATAGTACAGACATAGAGGAAGAAGTCGCCTTTCACGTCGATCTGGTTAGGACGACATGGCCTGTGACTGACCAATACATTGCCCAGATCCGATCAGAGACGCAGAGCGACGTCATCCTGAAATACGCCATGGATTACACCAAGACAGGATAGCCCCAGTACAAAGAAGATGTAGTGCTAGCAGCCAGGAAACTGTTTGCAGTTTGAGGTGAACTCGGCGTACTGGATGGGGTCCTACTGAGGGGAGACAGAATCGTCATTCCCTTTTCCATGAGAGATGAAATCATAGAGTGAATCCACCATGGCCATCTCGGCATCGTCAAGTGTCGAGAGAGGGCCAGGCAGGGAATGTTGTGGCCACACTTTTCCAAGGACATTCAGAACAGAGTATCTGGGTGTAGGACATGTCTCCAGAAACAGCCATCGCAAAGCAAAGAACCGCTGATGACCACAGAGCGACCTTTTCTGTGCTTTGGAGTGGACATCTGTGAAGCCAAAGGCTGACATCACCTCGTGATCGTTGACTACTTTTTGAGGTGGATCGACATCTACACACTCACTCTCCTGTCAACAGCAGCAGTAACGGCAAAACTGAAGAGCTGTTTCGCTCGTCATCGAATCCCAGAGACCGTAATGTCAGACAATGGTCCCCAGTTCAGCTCCACTGAATTCCAGAACTTTGCCAAAGAATGGAACTTTTCTCACATAACCTCGAGCTTTCACTACCCTCAGTCAAACGGAGAAGCCGAAAGAGCAGTGAGAACAGCAAAAGACATTATCTGCTGAAAGCAGCCCGAGTTGGCGCTACTCGTCTACAGAGCCACTCCTCTACCTGCCTTAAAAGTGAGCCCAGCTGAGATGGCGCTGGGAAGAAGGCTGAGAACAACTCTACCTGCTCCGTCCAGGACACTCATGCCGCACACTGTCCAACCCGAGAGAGTGCGCCGGTGTGACGAAGATTACAAGCAGCGGACCAGGCAGTACTACGACAAAACAGCCCACTGCCTACCAGAGCTTAGCCATGGAGACCCAGTCCTCTTCAAGGAAGACGGGCAGAAGGGCTGGAAACGTCCAGGTGAGGTGGTTCGACAGCACGCCCCACGGTCGTACATCATCAAGACAGCTGAACGAGAGCTGAGGCGTAACAGACGCCACTTGCGCCCCAACAGGGCAACTCTGGGGCCAGGGGTACAACCGAAGCAGCCTGCACCGCCACCGATGCCTCTGCAGGAGCCGTCAACTACATGGGAGACAGGGCCACAATTGCCGCCACCTGCTGTCAAAGCAGAGACGTCTGTCATCAAACCACACCTGTCCCCGCCACGACCACCAGACCCTGGTGAAACAGTCTACACACGTTCTGGCCAACCAGTGGTGAAGCCAACACGGTTCCAGTGAAGAGGTTTCTATGCCTTCAACGTGTTTTGCGTTGTTTTGTGTAACACCTCTTGCGTGAAGTCGGATGGTTGTCACCTCTTTGGTGACGTAGGTTTTACTTTTAGTAGATCTAGTTATATTTTGTAATTTGAACACTAGTCACATGAACTTTCTTCATCATCATTGTGCTGTGTTGTGTAACACCTCTGGCGTGAAGTCAGATGGTTGTCACCTCTTTGGTGATGTTAGGCTGTGTGCGTTCTAGTAATTTAATAATTATGATGTTTAGGTAATATGTTATTCATTAATGATTATACTAAAAGGAGAAGGTGTTGTGTAAGGGACCTAACAAAATTATTGTCCTTCCCTGTTTTACGGGAGCTACCTCCCTTCACTTTAAGACATGCGCAGTAGCGACTAGTGGGGTGAGTAATAAAGTTCAGTTGCTGTCCGAGATTCGTGTGGTGAGCAGTTATTCTTGTGCTTGTGTCAGTTAGTGAAGTGTTCTGGATTAAAGTGAAACCAAAGTAGACCAACAGCACCTTCATTTTTAATATTACTCTAGTTTAATGAGGCCAGGCTTCTCTAGAAAGACATGACAGAAGAGTAGAAAAATTCAAATCATATGTTCTGGCCTTCAGTAATTGAAATTGCTTTTTGAAGGGAATTTCAGATGATTATGCTGTGTATGGGCTCTTCAAAGGAAATATATATAAAATTCTTTTGTGTACAAATTAACATTATTTCACATGTTTCATGGTTGAACAAAACTTTTACTCATTTTCATTTGCACTTTCTTTTCCAAAGTTTTGTGCTCATCATTTTACTTTGATTAGTGTTTGATAAGATAATTAAATAGTACACTATTCAAGAATATTTTAGGTGACTAGATATAGATGTATGGAGAGAATTCTGTTTCATTTTGATGTCTTGGATTTTAATGTTAACTTTACTTCTTTTTAAAAAAAACCATAGCAGCTTAGCATGAAATTAAAGGTTATTTTGAAACTTTTTTTCTTGTATACACATTTTTAGATAGGGCTCAATGAAGACTAAGTGTTAGTACTGACTTTAGTGGAGTGTCGTATCTCTGACTGTTAAAGTTTTAATTTTGTTTTAATATACACAGTAGTAGACTGTTTAACTTGATTCCTGTAATCAAGAAATGATTTCAAATCCCGCTTCTTTTTTTTGGTCTGTATTCTATGCTTTGCAGCTTCTCAAAATGAAGAAATTCTCTTGTCCTGTGATGTTCGTGTTTTATTTATGAGTTCTCTTTTCCTTCTTTGACCCATAAGGCGGAGGCTGGGTCCATTTGTATCGTAGTGATCTCCACGTACACAGAGGGTCAGCCACCAGAGGGGACGGCGTGGTTCTACACCTGGCTACAGGACTTAGCCGAAGACTTTCGAGTGACCAAGGCAGCTTTGAATGGGCTCAACTTTGCTGTTGTTGGACTAGGGAACTCTTTGTACTCTGAGCACTTTAATTCTGTGAGTATTTCATTTTGAAGTGCAATGAATGCTTAAAGATTATGGCAGAAGTGTTATTTACTGTAGAAAGAGAAAGGCCAAAGTCCTGTTAATGTTTTGATTATGTTGGTTTGAATTATGGTCGCTTTTAAGGACAAGCAGGCTAACCCAGATTTCAGGAGTTTCCAGAAATCTTGACCTACACCAAAAGTGGGCTTTGCCCTACCTATAGGAGAAGTTTAGTTTCATTGGTGTGTTTATTTGTTCGGTTACAGAGAAAACTGTCCTTGTATTTTAAGGAAGTTGAACAAGTGGCAAAAATTTTACCTTCGATTTTCTCAAAACAACACTTTTCGGTATAGCCCCCTTGTGTCTAAAAGCGACCATATAATTCCCTCACTTGTATGAAGGTATATTTGACCGAATTTGTTCCTTGATAATAAGAAATAATATAAATTCACAAGCATTTTATTAAGCACAAGTGTAGCTGAGGTTGCAGTGGTTCTTGAAGTGCATGTTGCTGTTTCAGTGGCTGGCCGTGAGAATAATCATTTTTGCTGGATTAAAAAAATAATTTTAGAGGACTTATGTATCATATGATTCATTTACAGAACATAATGTCTGATCGAATTATAATTTATTATCATACTGGAATTATTCAGTATGGGCCTCCAAAAATTAGATCTAATTCCCTAACAGCCGTACCCCCTTGCCTTACTTTGTAGTGGTATGCTCAAATATGGTGCTTTATTTTTCGTGTGTGTTTCCAAATTCTTTTGTTTCTTTCAGGTTGCAAAGAATATCGATACCTGGTTGCACAGCCTGTCTGCGAACAGAATTTGGCCAATTTGTCTGGCTGATGAGAATGTGATCAACAGTAAAAACAAAGGTACTGTTATGTAATGTGTTGTAGAAATATTTGAAAATAAGGATACTTATTTGAATTGGCGACTAGCTCTTTGAAGGAAATTGCTGTTCTTGGGAATTAACAGGGCAGCTAGAAGTGACTGTTATTTCGACAGCAACAGCGGCAAACCGTGTACGTCTGGTAGGAATATAATGTGCGAGGTGAAGCATGCCTGAAGATGGGATATACTTGTTTTGTGCCATCTATGTATTTCATAATTTTTGTTCCTTAAACTTGCACAGTATCAAGGCATGAAGTAAGAGGGTTTCTGATTGATGTTTTCGCACAAAAATAGGACTTGACCTTATTTTAGAGTTACTTGTTTTGCAACTGTCACTGCATAGCAAATGCATCGTGTATGTCAAGCGTTATCTCTTGCTTTTCCTTTATTTAGGACTTTTTATACCTGTATGTAAGCAGCAGTTGTCATTTTGCTCTGAAATTTCTTCTTGTAAAGAAAAATATATAATTGTACAAAATGTCTCATTTTCATCAATATTGAAAGTTACACTCAATATAATAAATTTTTGTCATATTTACCAAGTCTAAAATTACTTTTTTATTAATAAATATTTTCTATTTGGTTTTTGGTTTTGTTAGTGAAATTGTTTATTTCTGTGCTTCATTCAGGTCTACAAGAAGATTTTGATGCGTGGCTTGAGTCTGGTATGAAAAACCTGCGGCGGGCTCTGAACGGTCGAAAGGTGACAGTCAAGTCATGCGAGGACAGCTGCACAAAACAGTGTGCCTGTAAGACGAAGCCCGACGCTGTTGATGACGCTAGTGGGGAACACAAGCACGGCAAATGCAGCAGTGACGAGGAAAGTGGCCATGAGGATTCCGAGGTTAGTTACATAAGATACTGGTCAATGGGATTTGGAGGTGCGTTACATAAGATAAAAGCCCAGGATAGGGAAAGGTGGAAAATGTTTGTTCGTGGCCTATATCCTGATCCTGGGTGAGAAAGGCAATGATGATGATGATGATATAAGATAAGATACTGGTCATTGGGATTTGGAGGTTTGATACTTTAGATAACATTTTATGTATTGTTTTCTAGTACACTTGAATCAACATAAAGGCCCCGAACATCTTGCTCTCACTGAAAAACTAGAATGCAAAAGAGCCGTGATAGACCAAGAAAAAAAGTCACAAGAGAATTTGAACAAATGGGTAATGGTGACTGACCAGGATAATATTTTTTGAGCAGAGAAATAAATGACAATCCATGATGGTCGATGTCTGTTTCAGATCTGGGACTTTGTGATTAGACAGAAAATCACAATGTGGTGAAAATAGGTAGTAAATATAGCACAAGACCAGATGAAGATTTTGGTGTTAATGAAATCGTTACCCCCAAATTAAGTGGTGATCCTCTGAAACACAGAACCAAAAACGCCACTTAAGTGAAGATTCAGAATGAAAGAGTTAACTCTCTGGAGACGTTTCACGCAGCATTTGCAAACACCAATATTTTCCCGAGAGGCGGTTCACACACCCCCCCCCCAGCACAAGTTTTGCGTTTTCTTTTTGGTAAAATATGCGCGCAAACACTGCATGAACTGTCTCTTACTGTGCAGCCAACCTTTATTTCGTTTCATGTAAAGTTTCACTGGAATTGGCTGGAAATTTCTTGTGTTATCGACCCTGAAGGAAAGTTAGTCACACCGAGGCCCTACTTTCGTTTCTCTGACTGGTGTCTGTTCTCGCAACACTTTGTCAGTACGATGGCAGCACGTTTAGTTTTAGTAAGAGTTTTACGGTACTTGCAACACAATAAGGTCACATTAGTGCTGAAGATTAGGTGTTATTAGAGAGTAATGAACACAAAAAAGAAGGAGGAGAGATCAGGATGAGAGTTGTTTGATAGGTAAGAAGGAGCAGACCACACCAGAGCACCCACCAACCATCCACTTGGCAGCACGAAAAGCAAACATTTTTCAAGTGTTTGACAACTTTGACAGTTCAGAAAATTCTGATTATGGTATTTTAGACCATGGGGATCCTGATTTCAATGTAAATGAGCATCAAATCACTGATTCTGATAGAGAATGTTCTAGACCTAGACTAGACTTTCAAACGCAAAATTCCGCTTCATCTGGAGCCCTGTTATTTTCACACTGAAGTGGATTAGACAGTTAATACATAAGGCTTACCATATCGATTACCTGCTTATTCATGAGTTTGGACTTTTTATTCATTTTAAAACACAAAACACAATAACAGACTCACACACAAAGTTAAATTTTGGGGGGGTTTTGTTGGTTTTTTTTTACACAAGACATTACGTCAAAAAAATTTGGCCTGCAAAAAATTTAAGAACATTTTCAAAAAATAATTTCTACAAAACTATAAAAAAAGATATTGCCTTTCTGTTTTTTGTGTCATATTGAGCATGTTTAGATCTGTTACGTGTGTAAAAGTGGCGGTTGTATGTCTTTGAAAAGTGTGTTGTTTGAAATATTGAGACACCCCAAAAATGCCAGACTTCAGTGTATGTAGAACCGAAAAAGGCCCAGTCTCCAGTGAATTAAAGATATTGTCTTTTTGTATGATAAGGTCTGAATCCACCTTTGAACTGTAGTTTGTTTAGTATCCACTCTGTTAGTTTCCGTTAAATAACCGTAAGACATAAGCTTAGATTAAAAAGTCTGAAAATGGTTTTTCCAGATGCTTGACGACTCTGAAGAGGAAGAATCGGCTGCAGAGATGTCCAAACCCGAAGTGGTTGACTTGGAAGATCTCGGAAACATCATGAGCAGGTCTAAGGTATGTCTAGGAAAATTGCTCACTTGCTGAAGTGATTTATTCCAAGTAAATTTTTTGTTACATGTGAATCTATGAGATAATTTTTTCTGGAGTGCTTTCCAAGATTTTTGCTGGCAAGGGTATGCTTTTTTTCCTTTCGTCTCTTTCTCTCCCTTTCCTGTTTCACAAAGAAGCTCTGGAAGTTCAAGATTGTCTGATATAACTGTCATCATGAGGTTGATCAATTGGATCTGTGAAACTGTCCCGTTTTGGTGCTGAAAAATGTCTGCGAGAACAGTTTGTGAATTATTATTTCAGCATATATCCTTTGTCACTGGCTCGGACGCATAATTTCCCAATTCTTTTTTGTTTGTTTTGTGACAGGCTTCAAAACTGACCAACGGAGATGGTGGGGATGGCCCGCGGGAAATGATCACACCTCTGTTGAGACAGTCCCTAGAGAAACAAGGCTACAAGCTGATTGGCTCCCACTCGGGTGTGAAATTGTGTCGCTGGACGAAGGTATTTGGCTTTAACAGGTTTTTCTTTTCGACTTAGATCACCCCTTGGCTTATTTGGAAAGCTGTTAGCTGAAGGGGAAAAGTTGTGTGCAATATTTACCCTTTGTGTTTTGGACAGTTTTTTTTTTTTGGGGGGGGGGGGGGGGTTGTTAGAAAATATTTTACCTGTTTGTTCTGACTTTCCAACAGCTTTTTTTTAGTTGAACATTTGGGCTGTGATGCTAGAAGGACGAGGTTGCTATTCAACGTTTCAAAAGTTCTACAACATGTTAACATACCCCTTTTTCTTAGGAAAATGTCAGTGTAACTGTCGGTACTTTGTCAGATTTATATACAATTTCAATCTTCTACATTCGTGGTGGATATAATTATTGCGAAAAGCATTTGAAAAAACAGTACTTTTACTTCACTTTTCCCTTTCATTGGTACTGGTAGGTATTACTGGGAGATACAGTCATCTTACTGAGGTCGGATGCCCGGAGGAGAGATATGTTGTGTGCAGTAGAAGTGGATAAATCAGATGCCTTTTGTTCACTTTTGTTTTTTGTTTGTTTTCCCAGTCCATGCTAAGAGGACGAGGGGGCTGTTACAAACATACGTTCTATGGCATAGAGAGCCACAGATGTATGGAGACCACACCAAGCTTAGCGTGTGCAAACAAGTGTGTCTTTTGCTGGAGGTAAATCTAAATTGCTATTTTGTTTGTCAGTTAAGTTTTCTTGTTTGGGGGGGGGAATTCAAAGTGTGGATGTGACAAGAGAGAATGTTATAAAAGAAAAAAATAAAAAATGAGCGGGAAGGCCCAGTATGTGATAAATACCAAACTTCACGAGTGATGCGAGAAGAAAAAGAAGAAGATTGAGAGAGAAACATAGGTTTTGCAAGTCCAAGACAACCCCCTACCCTCCCCCACTGTCGATGAGAAAAGTCATCTTAGACAGGTGGTCCTCCTGGACACTGTCATTACGATATATGTGTCACCACGCGGTTGAACCAGGCGCTCGTCAATTTTTTGGGCATATGGTCCTCAGCAACTGTTCTGGAGAAAGCGTCGCCAAAGAAGCACGTTCTCCGTTGCCCTGCGCCGTTTTTTGGGCATATGGGGAAAGAACAGAAGAATGCTCAACCAGATATGCACTGGCTTAATCAGTAGAAAGACCCTCAGAGACATTTTAGAGAGAGCAACGGAGCATTAATGGACATGTGCGGAATGCAGGGATGTTGCTTCCTGGAACAATGAACTATGAATGGGCATATGGAGTTATTGGTATCATCTTAAAGGTTGTTCATTTGCTTTGCTTTCGATAAAAAAAATATCCATTTATCGCGAATAGAAGTAGGTACCAGAAACTAAATTTTCAAAGTAGCTGTATGCCAAATTTATCTGTTCCATTTGAAAGGCCTATATCCACTGAGCATTTTGGTACCATTCTTTAACCTCTCAGTCAATTTTTAAGAAAATGGTACTTGTTTAAAATTTGATCAAATTTGTTAAAGTCAGTCACTGGCTGCAACCCCATGCTTGACAGACAATAAAAGAGTACCAAGTACACTAAACATCTCCACATTAACAGAGTACAATCACTATAACAAATATATGGAGCCTAATTTTTTTCAAGACTGTGAGATCATTACAAATCAGTATTTTATCACCTCAAACACGATGATCTGTCGTTATTTTGACAAAAACACCGAGCGTTGACCCGGCCTCGCTGGCACCAGCCCCTGCGGCGAGCGAGTCGTCTCTATACAATGGTATTTTACATATTTTGTGTAAAAAGTAATCTTTAAACATTTTGACAGCATTTTTAAAAGCTTTCTGTTTAAACGCCAAAGGCCAAATATATATCACGGGATTCTCCAGCTCCTAATAATTGGACATATAAACAACTTACACCCTTGTAACGGGGAAAAGCTGAACTTTTACAAGGTGTACGGCATTTGGTGTTTTATAGTGAAAGAGCAAAGATACAGCGATCGGAATTTCCCCAATTTCACTGATACCACGCGGTCGGAAGGCCGCGAGTGCCAGCGAGGCCGTGTTTACGCTACTTAATAGAAGTCGTAATATTTGCGGTTGAAGGAGGTGGGGTCCCCTGGTTTTAGAAGTAAAATTAACGAGAAAATGGCCACCAAAGTTTGGTGACTTCCACAGCTTAAAAGTCCTTGGAAAATGAAAATTTACATTATTTGTGCCTTTAATCGTTTTCCATAAAATCCACACATAAAAGTATTTTTGAATGGACATACAAGGTGTTGAGGCAAAACACAAAATTTCGAAGAAAAAAATGTCCAAACTGGCCGAAAGATGTAGAAAAAATGCAAAGGGGGGGGGGTGTAAGTGGAAAGTGGTTATTTGTACAGGTGATTGTCTCCGACAGGTGGTCGTAGGTATGTTTACCTGTCATGTATGCTGTGACAAAATAAAATAACTATTATTTAGACAGACAGAATTGTGACAATGATGGAGAAGGAGTAAAAGATGATGCCTGTTGTAGCATTTTGTGCTGTTGCGTTTTACAAAAGATTTTGTTCTTGTTGTTATTCTTTCTTTTTTAGACGCAAGAAAGACAGGAATTTGTTTGAATTTAAGGGTTTGTTTCTGCTTTTCCCCAGGCACCATACAAACCCAGTTGGGACAGAGTGGAAGTGGAAAATGGATGACCCCCAGACCATATTTGATTCTGCTGTAAAGAATCACGTTGGGCTGATCAAGCAGTTCAGAGGTAAGTCTTGAGTTTTTATGCTGAGGTCTATATTATATTCTTATTCTAATAAAGCACCCAAATCAAACTTCCTTCGAGTTTTGAATGGGGCTTCCCGTGGTATATTTTTGGCCTTTGGCGTTTAAATAGAAAGCCTTTAAAAAAGCATGTAAGTTTTCAAAGATCATTTTTAACAATTATTATGTAAAATACCGACCAAAAAATGGACCAATAGAAAGAACAGTTCTTTTTCTATTAGAATTAAGTCATCGGTTTGGAATTATATTGCATCAATCCTTCCGCGAAACTCTGGGGAGCACTCAGTATACTATAGTATAGAGCCAACCCACTGGCCGCGGGGACCGGTGCGGTGCCGGCCAGGACAGCGCTGGGTGATTTTTTAAGAATTGAAATATCAACAGATTGTGTTTGAGGCAATACAATACTCATTTGTATCGTTCTCATAGTCTTGAAAAAAAATAGGCTCCATTTCTATGTTATAGTGATTGTACTCTGTTAATGTGGAGATGTTTGGTGAACTTGGTACTCTTTTATTATCTGCAGCCAGTTAGCGAATTTAGCAATATTTGATTATATATCAAATTAAAACAGCTGCCATTTTCTTAGAAATTGACAGAGAGGTAAAAGTATGGCATCAAAATTCACAGAAAACACAGGCCTTTCATATTGAACAGATAAATTTGACATACAGCTACTTTGAAAATTTAGTTTCTGGTGCCTAGAAGGACCTACAATGCTAACCTGTTGTTGCATTTAATGTGAAGACCATTCTCATTAAAATTTTGTTTTGTCCATAAGCTTTTTGCTGTTAATGAATAGTTTTCTACTTCTGTGTGTTACCTTGTAGTGGCATAGCCAAAATATCTGCCAAATTTCAAGTCTCTATCTCAATTCTAAGACCCCCGTTGCTATGGAAACATGTTGCTCAACTTTGGATCCCGTTTTCTCCTATTCGCGTTTCTGCACCATGCATACTTAAAAGTTTTCGTCAAATATTGTCTTATTTACTTCTTTTTTTCCCCCCTTGACCTTGACCTTGACCATCAATGATTTATTTATAGAGGCACCAGCCATCCATGTCCAGATGCTGTTTTAGCCTCTTTTTCCTGTATGCGGATTAATAATATCTTTTTGCCAATTTATTGTTTCTGCTTCTATGTACCCCATATCTATGGTGTTCAGCCTGGAAATCACCTATAATTCGCTGCAATTGCCCCCCTCCCCTCACCATTTCTCATCATCCCCTCCCCCCTTATAGTGTCATCCTTTATGTTACCGTCTATTTTTATCGATAACACGTGGATTAAGGGCAGTATTAATGATAATTAAGGAAAAAAAACCAAACCAAACAAAACAAAAAAAAACCCATTAATTAAATAATAAATAAATAAATAAATAATAAATAAAGAAATAAATAATGCTAATGATTATCATACTAAAATATTGATAATGAGAAGAAGAAGAAAAAGAAGAAGAAGAAACACGGTTATAACATCACTATCAAAAACAATAATACTAATAATAGAATTGATTTGAGTAAAATAATGAAATAATATTAAAATAATAAATGCAGTAATATTATTATAAATCAAAATTTCTGAAAGGACTCTACTTGGAATCCACCGACTGTATGGGACCTTGTATGAATATGTTAAATTAGATAATTCAATCCATACAATATGAGGCTATGTCTTCAGATCACAATCCATTTTTTTTCAAGAGGAAAGCAGATGTCTATTCTCATTTTGTGTTTGGTCATTCTATTGAGTTACATCTATAAGACCAATCTCCTCGTGGTTTAAGGAGTGGAAATATGTTGTTTTTTTTCCAAATTGTACAGAAATGGTGATAGTTTTTGGAAATTATGTTAACTTAATTTTGAAATTTCTGTCATATGACTGATATTGACTGGCAGGGACACATATATGTTTCAACCATAAAAAATGTGTTGTTCAACTGTGAACTGTATCTTCAAAGTTGTCGTGGCCGCTTCCAAAGTACTGTTGTTTTTGTTACGTGTTTCTCCTTCCGGATGGTTCAGCCTGCTGCCTGTCAGTTTTTGTTTGAATTGTGCACTTTGATAGAGAGTTGTAGGCTTTCCCACAGGTGAAGGGTTTTTTTTCTTGGTCAGTCAATAAATAGTATTCTTCCAAAGAGAGTATAAACAGTACTATTTTTAACCTCCTTGGGCTCTCCTGTAAAATTGTAAGACCTGCATATATATATGTGAGACGTGCTGACAAAATTAGTTACTTCTAGCAATCCATAAATGAAGACATTGGCCAAAGATCGACCTGGGGTCAAATTTGTAGATTTTCTATTGATGCCATATTCTTTAACTATAACCTGTCTTTTATATTATTTCATACTTATACATTATAAAAACTTCACCTATAAGCGTGGTGTATCTATTTCCTTAACCCTATCAGTACGTCGTGTTTTACTATCGTATCCATACGATGAAGGGAACTCTGTGCTACCCTTTTCCAAAGAGGAAATTTACTCGTTAATCCGATCCGTACGCTTTGCGTAGCAGTCTGTCAAAATATTTTCTGAGAAATACTGAAAGTTTCAAAGAGATCTTCGTACTAGAAGTATTCTAAAATGTGAAGAATACAACCCGGGGGTACAATGATGGCAGAGTTAAACTTGAACCAAGACACATGGAATTGTCCACAGGGGTGCCGGGCGTCAAACCCGAGAAATTTGAGGAGGCGATGACGGTCCAGCACTGTGCCCTCTCTCTGGTCGGCGAGCCCATCATGTACCCGGAGATCAACACGTTTGTGGAACTTCTGCACAGCAAGCGAATCTCTAGCTTCCTGGTCACCAATGCTCAATTCCCGGAACAGATACGGTCAGTTCAGTTTCTGGCAATGCTACTCCTAGGCTTTGAAATTTTGAATGATGTCGTCGGCTGAATTGCTTTCACTTTCAAATTTATCTATTTTTTGGTTCATTCTGTAAGGCTGTGATACTATTTTGAATGTCTTTCACTCATAGTCATAGCTTACTGTATTTTCTATGTTTCACATGCTCTTGGCTAATACAATCATTTCTTTTGCTTTGTAAGATCTCATCATGTGCTGAAAGGATAGCTTTTGGCTGTCATTGTGAAACACTTTCCAATCGAGCTTGATTGCAGAAGTTAAAAAATTTAATTAAAACTTTTTAAAAACATATTTACCATCTGCAGTAGAATCTCACTTGAACATGCTGGGTTGTTGTGAGAACATAGGGGAAGATAATCATTTTGGAAACTTTTCCTTCTTGTTTAACCCTTCGAACCCTGACCTCCTGAAGCTACCGCTCCTCTGTGCTGAGTGCCTGGCGATATATTACTAACATTCATATGATAGTCAGAATCACGTTCCATATCCCACTTAGAGTAGTCCTTGTCATTACTCGTGTTGAATTCAAAAAGATCTTCAAAATGATCAATTACGTCTTGTGAAGTAAACACTGTTGTGCTGTACACGTTTTGTCCCAGGCGGGCCAGTTTGGGGACGTGGTCTCACTCACCGCTGTACCATTGGCTAGGCTTTCGGGCAGTGGCAAGGGCTCAAAGGGTTAAAGGGCATTCTGAGTCATCCCCACGTTTTCGCTCAGGTGGATAGGCCCCATAACAGAATGTACGGCTGGTTTCTGTACGAAACAGATTAATGTCTCTGGCAAGCTGTTTAACTGAATTAAGCCCAGAAGGTTAATTTGAATTTAAACAAAACAATACTGGAGCACATACAGCGGATATCACAGGTTAAGAAACTGCAATTTTTTAAATTCAAAAAATTTTGGGCTCGGTACATGTGAACAGCAGTCTGACAATGTACTTTTTTGCAAAAGACTTTTTAAGCAAGAGCAGGACATTGTAAAGGTGTCACGACGCGGTGGCATCAGGCTTTCCTCAGTTTTTTGTACATGTGGAGTTATTGGTATCATGAGAAAGCTGATTTTTTTGGTCTTGCTTCCAATGAAATAAATATCCATCTCACTTAAATAGAACTTAAGATATCTGCAATCCTGGTTTCAGTGGTGATATTAGGGAGAAAATGGCTGCCAAAGTTTGCAAACTCCAATAGCTAAAGAGTCTTTGAAAACTGAAAAATGACATATTTTGTGCCTTTAGTCAATGTTTTTCAGTAAAATTCCCATGGAAATGTGTTTTGACATGGACTTAAATAAATAAGCCAAAAAATAAAAATTTCGATCAAAATTTCCAAACTTGTGGGAAAATGCCTGTTTCTCCAATTTCATTATTTTGACGAGCGCCTGCTTTCACCACGCTACCTCATAAATATTCCATCATCTGTCCCTTGTCCCTTGTCCCACCCACCTCCCCAGGGACCTGCTGCCTGTCACTCAGCTCTACGTCAGTGTTGATGCCGCCACAAAGGAGAGTCTGAAAAAGATTGACAGGTGCATTAAAAAAAATTGTTTTTTCGGTTTATGTCCGAAAATATATTTTTTTGCAGTCAAGAGCTCAGTGAAAGACTGTCATACGTCACTTTTCAAAATGATGCATGGAGGAGTCTTATAATAAATAGTCAGACGATTTATAATGATATATATATAAATATATAGCCAATATGTCGGAACCTAAAATGTAGCACAGAGGGTTGATGATAAAGTTTTTAATATTTCGTTTTTACTTGAATTTTTCCATTCATGTATATCTCCTCCTACATAAACATGTATTTATAGGCCTACAGGCGGCATACTAAACTGTGTAAGTGGCGTTTCGTAAAGTCAAGTCAAATTCTTTCGGACATAACTATGATGACACATTTTTTTCGAATTTATACTTATGTTTTAACAGTTTTTTTTATTGTTTTAATTTTCAAACATAAACATGAAGAGCATATAAAACGGTGAGGATCAGAGAAACAAGAAATTCTGAATGCCGTTGTGTTTGCATTTGTGTCATCATAGTTATGTCCGAAAGAAATGAATAACTTTCCGTTTTGATATCTTAATTTCTTTTTATTAAAATTTGGGCAAACAACAATTCAGAAGATTCAGTTCAACTCACAGTGCATTTTAATGATGAAAAAATGCCACTTTATTCATGTTTAATTTTACTATGAATCTCTGTAAAATATCTAATATGAAAAATACCCTGAAAAGTAATTTACGGAACTTAAAATTATTTTAATAGTTTTCTCATTGCTTTAATTCTCAAACATAAGCATGAAGAGCATATAAAATCATAGAAAAAATAAATTCTGAATGTCTTGTGTTCGCATTTGTGTCATCATAGTTATGTCCGAAAGAAATTAAAAACTTTCCATTTTCATATTTTAATTCATTTTTTGGCAATTTTGTCAAACAGATATTCAGGAGATTCAGTTTGACTCATAATGCATGCTATTGGTTAAAAAAAAACCCTTGTAATTCCCATTTTACTATGACTCTATCGAAATAAAGACTTAAAATAAAATGCACGGAAACAGTACCAAAGAAAATCTCAAACTATAGATAGGAAATGAAAGTCTCCCCAAAGAAGAACATCCAACTTACCTAGGAGTCAAACTTGACCATAGTCTAACCCTGAAAAGCCAAGTGGAGAACATAAGGAACAAGGCAAAAAAAACCCTCCAATTTTTAAACTTTAAGAAACTCGCAAGCAGTTCATGGGGATCAGACAAACAAACTCTGAGAGCTCTATACCTTGGTTATGTCCGATCTTCCCTGGAATCAGCAATAGCCTACTCACTATGTGCAGAACAACTACTTGCAGCACCCTTTACAAGGTCCAAAACAATGCCCTTCGTTTTATAAATGGTGGCATGAGATCCACACCTACCGCCGCGTGCGAAATCCTTTCAAATGTTGAACCCCTGGGAATCCGCAGAGATAAAGCAGTTTTGGAGCTACATGAAAGAACTAAAAGAATGTGCCCCAACCACCCAAACAGGAAATTAGTAGAAACATGGATACCAAAGAAAGGAATTCAACGAAAGTCAATCATGCATCTCATCACAGAACTAATGGAGAGTCACCATCTACCACAAAATAGAAAAGAAATCAAAAGAGTCAACCAAAACATCCCTCCCCACCTTTCTTTAAAAAAGCCAATCATTACAACATCTCTCAGAGACAAGAGCACAAAATCTTCAGACCCAGTGACGCTGATGCTTGCATCACATCAAACAATCGACAGCTATTCAGATGACTGGATACACGTCTATATGGATGGCTCAGCATTCAAAGGCACAACCAAAGCCAGATATGGAATACTAATACAATACCCAGATGGAAGTTCCAATGAGATCTCTGCAGCCTGTAGAGAGAAATGCAGCAACTACGATGCAGAAATGATGGCAATTGAAACAGCACTGTACCATCTCCACACAGTTTTTGACACCCATCCTGGAAAAGCACAGAGTATTGTGATTTTCACTGACTCTCTATCATTTTTATAAGCCATAGAAAATGACCCTCATCTAAACCAAGATTTGATCCATATACTGTTTGGTTCCCATTATCTGATAACATTCTGTAGCATCAACCTAGTAATGCAGTGGGTCCCCGGACACTCAAACATACCTGGAAATGATAGAGCAGACATACTTGCCAAACGGAGATCTAGACAGGAACAACCCAACATTCCAACTTCATACAACACTGCAAAACAAATCATTAAAAGCAACAACAAACAAGATTGGATGAACAGATGGGCCCTGGGAAAGACAGGCAGAGCAGTTTTCAAACATATGACCACAACAAAAAGGAATGACAATATCAACCACATACAGAGAAAGAAACAGACCACGATCTTCCGCCTACATACAGTTCAACTTCCACCTGAACAGAATAAACCGGGAACTTCCCCCAATGTGTCCCTTGTGTGACTATGCATATGAGACTGGATCATTACCTGTTCCACTGCACAGCCCTAAATGACATCAGAGCTACCCTTCTCCCTCCGAGACCTAACATTGACAACACACTCTATGGAACATTACAGCAACTACAGCAAACCTGCACTTATCACTACATGGCATTGGACAGAAGGGTGAGAGCCCAGCTGTTGCTGGATCGATAACAACAACAACAACAACTATGACTCAATGCAAAATACCAAATATCTTTCGAACATAATCACGATGACACATAGTGGATAAATGTTTGTTGCCATTTTGGAACATATCATCAATTTACATAAAATTTTCCCCTCTCGTTGACATCTAGCCAAGCACGCGTGGTTGCATCTAGATCTACCACTACTTGACCATTGGAACGCAGTGTTATGTTAACCATTACTTGGTTTGAATTTTCGAACATAACATGTTTAGATTTGATGACTATATAAGAAAACTTAAATGGATTTGTCTCATCCATCGTTATTCTTCTCGTTGTCTTACATCGCTCAACAATACGCTTTGAATGGATCGACAGGAACAATGCACGTTCCTCCTCCCCTATTATTTCTAGTTTTCTGATTGGTTCTTGCGAACATAACAAATGATGACAGAGCACAAGGTGTCGCGGGATTTCCATTTTTTGCAAAATTACGTACGGTTTACAGCCTCGGAATCAGTCAGGGCAGAGAGTAAACACTGAACGATATTATGCCCGTTCCAAGGCCCCCAAAATGGCCGATAGAAACGAAGTCACGGGGAATCGAAGTTGCCTTGCAAAATGACTACACGAGTTATCCTCGAAAATGAAAATCTAGAAGGCTCACAAAGAAAAAACAGCTATGGACATCTTTATTCCTGATATAGCACCACAAATAATGTAGTTATAGTAGTCAAAGTGTAGAAGGACGAGTTTCTCAGCAATTATTTCATTGTTGAGCTTGATGACAGAAAAAGTATGAACTCGCATATATATACATATTATATTTATATATATTATTATGCACTTGTAAGGAATAAGATTGTTTTCCCGTATGTACATAGTTCAGTGGATTGATACGTACTCGGCAAATCCTATTGGTATGTTTTTCTTTTGTCCCACTTCTCTGGGTTTTTGTTTGTTTGTTTGTTTGTTTGTTTTTGTTTTGTTATGTTTTGTTTTTGTGTTTGTTTGTGGGTTGTTGTTTTTGTTGTTGTTGTTGTTGTTTTCTTGAATTTCCTCACCCCTGAAAGGGGATTGTTTTAATCTGCTTCTGGTTAACTCCCCTCCCTCTCTCTCTCTCTCTGTTCTGTGCTTTTGTACTGTAGTTACCTGGTACCTCAAAAGTATTTGGTGTACATTTCTTAGAAATAGCAAATTGCTGAATACATTTAATGGATTACCATTTCTTTGAGAGCCTTTTTGATTCAAATGCAAAGGAATGCTAAACTTTAAATACAGGAATTAGGTTGATAATTCTGTTGGTTGCATTTTTATTTTATTTTTTTCTTCTTTTCAGACCGTTATTCAAGGACTTTTGGCAAAGGTTTTTGGATAGCTTAACATCTCTGCGGGACAAAGGGCAGAGAACTGTGTACAGACTGACCCTGGTCAAGGCATTTAACACGGAGGAACTGGATAACTACGCCAAACTTGTTTCTCTTGGAAATCCAGATTTCATTGAAGTCAAGGTTGGACATAATGCAAAAATATGCATGTTGCTGTTTCTTTTTTTAAACATACTTTCTTTTGTTGTTTTGTGAGGACATTTTTCGTTTGTTTGATCCATAGATCACTTCCTAGTTTATTTTCAAGATTCTGAGTGGGTGCTTGGCGGTTACTCTGGTTTGGTTTGCTCTTTCTTTCCTACCAAACGTCTATCGTCTTTGTCTCTCCTTCTTCATTTTTGTGTTTGTGACTCTCTTGTAACATCTACTCTAATCTCTGGCATTTATATATGACATGACCTATTTGTGATGTTTCAAGCTGTGACATGTTTATTAAAACTAAAACACCACCCCAGGGCGGTACTACTGACTGAAGTGGCTTTAGGTCATTCCCAAAGGGGACATTAACCATGTTCTTATGCAAATGTAATTGCAAATAGGCAGATTCATTAATTTCATGCTCATAACTGTGCTTGAACTGCAAAAGGAAACTGCTGCTTTTTCTTTCCTAATCCTTGCTATCGTCATTTTTCCTGTTCTCCTTTTGTATGTTTGTCACACTTTTGTGACCCGCTATTTCCTGGGTTCCTCGATAGTCAAAGCCGACTCTGTGCTGTTGAAGCTAGAGAGGTGAGCAGAGTAAGCTTGATTCCCTGTAAGGACTTCTCTGTTGACATCCACCCCTTGGCCCTCATATGACCTTATGCAGTTGCGAGCGCTGAAAAACCTCTACTAAAATTAAAACATACCCCAGGGCGTGACGTACTGCGGCGAGTCGAAAGCTTCCAGCCTCACAATGGAGAACGTGCCGTGGCATGAAGAGGTGGTGCGGTTCGTCACCGAGCTGGCCGACCGGTTGCCGCTGTACGAGGTCGCTTCTGAGCATGAACATTCCAACTGTTTGCTCATCGCTCATAAAAAAGTAAGTAGACTTGTACATCATTCTGTTGTCAAAATTCATCTGGTAACAGTAACTATCCCTCCTGAACTTGAATGTATCCTTGATGTGAAAAATTTCAGACTCTTCTTTTAGAAAGGGAAACTTAGCTTTAAGGGAATCCGCGGGTCTCGATTCCCATAGAAAATCGGGTATTTGCTAAAAAAATATGGAACTTCGAGTATTTGGATATTCTTACAGAAAAATATGTCAAGAATCCATTTGTGAAGGTCCCAAGACCTAAAGAGACCTCTAACATACAAAAAAATGTATTTGAAAGCGGTAGGGGGGGCAAAAAAATTCAAACATAACGTCAAGAAATGCTAAACTTTACCCCTTGACAACAACACTTTCCGTGGCTGCAAGGTAATCAAGTTTGGTATCGTTGGAAAGGCCGTGATAAGAACTATTCGATTATTGCACTTTCGTTTTCGTATGGAACTACCCCGTGGACCCATTTAGGTATGTTTGAAGACCCCGTACCAATTACCAGTTGGCCACTTCCGTCACGTGACCGGACCGTGAATTTTCATTCGCCGAGCGGGTTTACACTGCATGCCGCAAGACAGAACGTGAACGTTTTCGCTGCATTTCAAAGCGTTTTTTATCGTGTTGCCGATTTCAACGCTAGGCTAATAAATCTTGTTTATAGGCTGAATAATTATTGTTATCAGCTCCATTTGCAATTTGGTGTAGTATTTCGGCCAGACAAGGCCTACCAAACACATGCTCCTTCTTATTCGTCTTCTCTCGTCTGTCTATCACCTGATCGTGATTCAATTCGATGTCTTAGTCTTTTCCGTTTTGAGCTAATCCAGGATCTAAACTGTTGAGATTATACATGTAATACATAATAGCCTTCAGTACTTTCCATGATTATATGGCTGGGGTATTCAAAGTATAAATCTAGATCTACAGATCTCCGTTGCCCTCAATCAACAAATTTATAGAATCTAGGATTTGTTTTGATGGCTCCCCTAGCCTCTCGGCCGGTTGTTCGCAGTGAACATACAAGTCTGTTTAGCGTAGCTAGATCTAGCAATAGACATCTCTAGATTTTCTAGAGCCTAGATCTAGTGTTATAAAAAATTTTTTAAAAAACTTTATTATTCTATTGTTGTTTTTTTTAATCGGAGGCCGGTGTTCCCAAAGCCGGTTAACCCCTTCAAGCAAGATTGAAAGAAGCGACTGTGCAGAATATAGCAAGATAAAATAAATTGAGAAAATATACAGATCTAGATAGTATCATGTAGTGCCAGCTTACAGGGTGCCTTTCTTGGTTGCATAGTCTTAGATTCCACCGTTGCAAAACCAAAACACATGGGAAGAAAATGAAAGGGAGGTAGCAGCTTTTTTTTTTTTGCCATGACAAATTCTCGACTCTTCTAATTCTAAGAAAGGCAGTCACCTGCCAAATCATTTAAAGAATTCTTTATGTGGAAAAGACTAACAACAAACTCAATTTACCTAAACAATTCAGTATGGCAACGTTAACATATTTAGACGGGCATGTCAGCATGCAAAATCTTTATTTGCGTTTTTTTTTCAGAGTGACTTTTCTGACAAATCTGCTACACTATTTTGATAAGATCTCAGAAAGTTACTGTCAGAATTGGTTGAAATTTTCACACAAGCTCTTGAATGTATACCTTCTACCTTACGTAGATATTTTAGCTTCTTCTCCCATTAAAGAACAGAAACTGAAAGACAAATGAGAGTTTACATTCTTGGGGCGGAGATTCAATTGAGAGGACAGTTGGGGTGGGGGGGGGGGGGGGGATGGAATTGATGTAAAATCTTTTTAAATAGCCTGTGCTTTATAGTATGATGTAAACGTAGTGTATGTTGCTGAATAATGTTGGTTTTTAGTGAAAACCGAGATGGTTGTGATTGCACAATGTTTCGAAAGCTTTGTTTGTGTTTTTCTCGAAATTGCATTTTCGGCTAACTGGTAACTTTATAGAAAGTGTATCTCAATAACTAACGTTCAGATTTCATTGAAATTTTCACACATTATTCCCAAGATAAGTGCCTTCCTCCTTACAAAAGCACTTTTCCTGAATATTGATTCTGTTTTGAGTTATTTAGCATTTTTGCGTGGCAACATCACCTTATATGGAATTCTGAACATTGGTCAAAGTGAGAGTGAAATTTTGAAAATGTATGATAGATATTAGAAATCTGATTCTGTAAGGAGAAGCAAGCGATATATAACAAATGTACCAAGTATGAAGCTTCTATCTCTATTGGTTTTGTAGAAACACTGTTTATAAAATATAACGAAATTTTGCTGAGTCAGCGCCACTTTTTGCTGTCACAAGAACAAAAACAAAAAAAATGTAAATTTTATTTCACAAAACCTCTTTTTTAAAGTGTATGTATCCATTGATGCAGACAAAGTGGCAACAAAATGATTGGAACTGAGTTTTGGCATTTTCATTAGCCACCCCCCCCCCCCCCCCCCCCTTAAGAAGTTATAATTTACAGTCGACCATTTCCAAAACTAAGTAAACCTTAAGTCTGTGTTGGCTATAGCTAACGCATTATGTGTACAATGTTCAAGTAATCAGATGGCATTATTTTGATAGGATTGGGCGAGAGGGCACAAAAAGAAGTAGACTTGTACAAGGACACTGGCATTTGTTGGTATTTTTACACTCACACACACACACACACACTCCTTACCAAACACCTTTTTTTTAACCAGTTCAAGCGTGGCTCGGACTGGTGGACATGGATTGACTACCCACGCTTCCACGAGCTCTGGCAGAAATACAAAGACAGCGAGGGAAAGGCGACGTTTTCCTCTGAGGACTACATGGCCAAAACCCCCAGCTGGGCCGTTTTCGGAGCCAGTGAGCAAGGGTTTGACCCAGACGAGACGAGATTTTACCGCAAGAAGCAAGCCAAGTCATAAGGCAGCCACAAGCAGAATTTGATATTTGTGACCCGTTGGGTCCTGATGTATAACAGGCCAGCCACTATTTTTTTGTATGTGACATGTTAGACATTTAAAAGATTTATTGAAGGTGTTTTAGTGTTTACAGTAGTCTCTGCCTAAACCCATGCCACACAAAAGCACGCTTTGCTCAAACGCACACTTTCGTCATCTGATGGGTTTTTTACTACATAATTTAGATGTACAAACGCACGGACACTCCCTCTAAACGTACCCTCGGATCCGAGAAACATGCCAACAGGTTAAGCTGAACAAAGGGTGAGACTGCCCCTCACGCCGAACAAAGTGCGAGTGATGGACAGCGTTTTCACACCAAACTTTCCACAGACACATAGGTCTAGGACTGGTCAGTGGAATGTTGGGAGTTAGGGGACTGAAATATTATTTGATTAATCACTGGAAATGCATCTTTAAGAAGAGAAGGTTTCTGACTGGTGTTTGGGTGACTGCATGTAATTTTTAGTTAGACCTAGGCCTATGATGCGCAACACGCGTAAATGCTTATCCATGAATTTACGGTCGGGCTGGTCGCTTGGAAAACCACGTGGCTGGGCCGTCGTCTCTATATCATTACATTGAGTCTGTATTTCTTAAACCCCCCCCCCACATACACACACCCATTCAAGGCCTTTGTATTCTTAACCGCAGTCGCCGAGTCTTTTACAAAACCGTCACATGTCGTCCCATTATCGACCCAAAGTGACCCCCACCCCAAAGGGAGGTCACTAGAATATAAAGGCAATGAGATGACTGCGTCCCTTCCTCCCTTTGCAAAGGTTCATGTAAATGCATGCTCCGTATAAACACACGCTAAGGGGCCTTCCTGAGCACCGTGCGTTTAGGCGGAGACTACTGTACTTAGTTAGGTTCCTACTTATACTTTTTCACCAGAAAAATAGAAATTATGTGGGAGTGTATGATATTTAATAACAGTAAGTTGTCAAGAAATATAAAAGAAAAGTTCTTATAATTTTCAATTTTCATCCTTTGGACTTCAGAAATATTATTTCACAGATTCTACCGGACTTCTTAAAATGCTGAATGATTTGCTTTAATATATTACCAGGTAAGGTATTTCTCCATTAACTCACTCACCGCCATTGCCGCACCTGTTTCGGTCAATAGGTGATGCCCGCTGACCACTGCTACTGTACCCCTGTCGGTCGCATATTTTCCTCTTTATTTCTACTAATTACCGACACAGATGCTGCAACGGCATGGCCCAGTTACTAGAGTAACATCCCTTTGACCACTCAGAGCAGTTTCACTTTATTAAAATGATTTCCCTCTAAGTTCTGCCTATTTTTGGAAAGGGAGTTCCCTTTGTTCTATTTCTGGGTTTTGTTTGGAAAGTCGGGGTGCTGAAGTCGAACAAACGCTAACGTGATGCTCATGCCGATGTGAACTGAAAATGGCTTGTAATTTTAGAGATTCCATATGTTTCAATGACCTCAGATTCAGATGATGAAGTGCAAAATAACGGTAGTGATGGTAGTTTGAGATGAGAGAAAGAGATAGATCACCTGTCGGCAGTAGTAGGCTAATACTAATACTAGTACTATAACTAGAGTCTAGTACGACGACTAATGATTCAAGCGGTGACGCTTGAAATAGTATAGCCGAAGTCATAAAAAACTTATCAATTTAGTTTTCTTTTGTTTCTTTATACATTTTTGTGCATATTTTAGGACAGAAACAGCAACTCTCTCTCAAAAACAGCAAAAATATTGTACTTGCTAGTGTGGCCCCCAAAAAAGTTTTAGTCCCCAAAATTTGTCGTTTTTTTTTTAAAAGCTATGAAACATGAATAAAATAACATAGAGTCAAAATTCTTTCTGTTCTGTTAAGTTCAACATCGCCTACTGAAACTTGCCAATTTTCATAAATCTAACATAAATAGGTTTGGAGAAACTGGATTTTGATAAAGGTAAAAAAAAAGCTGGCAGGCAGCGGCTTGACTTGGAGTTAAGGCGCCGGCAGCGAGTGAGTTATAATGGACAGGATCAAAAGTGTTTGTTGATATCTTGCTCTTGCATGATGCAGGAACATTTCTAGACTTGTCAGATGTGTGAGTTATTGTGATTTCTAGTTGAATAGGAAGAACTTTGTTGTGCAAACATGTTGTTGACTTTTGACTTTCATCATGTTGCTCCTCTTTGGCTGAGTTTACTTGACAGAAAAGTAAGAGAATCATTTCTCCTTTCATGATTTGAACTGCCTTCTAAGTTGTAAATGTAGTTCTTTTTCAGGCTTAAGACTGTTATGTGGTGGTGGAAATACTCTTTTTCTTTTTAAATTGTTGTGCAAGAACAATTACAGAACTGTACTCTAACTTCCCATGACAAAACGGAGGGAATCAGTCTTGGCTAGAGACAGTGTAGTTGTAGCGTTATATTTAGGAGGGGGTGGGGGGGGGGAGTGCTGTGCTCATGATGATGAGTTTGAGTTTGGTGTTGGTTAGAATTACATTTTGGCATGAGTGCGTGGTGTTTTGGGTGGAATTAGACAAAGAGAGCTGTTGTGGTAGAAGAATTGCATAATGTACTAACAAATAGAGTGGAGTTCACCTATACTGAACTTACTGGGACCAGACGTCTTTTGTTATTTTTAATAATTTATTATTATTACTATTTTTTTGGAAAGAAAAAAATTGAATTGCGAACTGAGATTTATAAATGTGCAGTTAAAGGGGGGTTTCATTTTACTCCAGTTTTCTATTAAGTGGACTCCACTTTGTTGTGGTGAAACTCCTTGTGTTGAAGAGAGCTGTGAGGTGATTTTTAGCTCTGCAATTCAGAGACTGTTGATGTGAAGAATAAAGCTGTTCAAAAGTAAATTTAGATGTTTTTGTTGTGATTGAAGCCGATGTATTCAGTCGGGCCAGAATAACTCAAACATGTCGAGGATTGACAGTTGTGTTCAACTTTAACACACCGTAATGCGAGTTAAGTGATAACGGAAAATTAAAGATATATCTGCTCGGGGAGTGGTAAATTGTACGAACTATCTGTGGTTTCCAGTTTTCCGTGTTTGTGTTATCTGAGCCTGACGATATATAAAACAAATGTGTTTTATGCCCCCACAGACAGGAAAATACAGTCAAACTTGTCCATTAGTCATCCAATATCACAGAGGAAAGTTACCATCATAGACAGATGGCCGCAATGGACAGGGTCCGAGTGATGGTAACTTACTAGACTTGGCAAAGTCAACAGGTGGTTTAGAATCTGAAATCTTAATTTTATCTTTCCATTTCATTTCATTGTTAACTATCATTCCCTGGTGTAAATGAGTACCTGGCCATAGGCAGCGAAAGATCTTGTCAGTATGTTAGTGTTTTACTCATAGTGCCTTTAAAATGACAGCCTGTATTGTATGCTTCTGAGGAAGTTAAGATTGTTTCAGAATGCTGTCAGGTCTGCTGGGGTAAGGTTTGTTGATAAGCGGGAATTTGCGCTATACAAATGCTATCTATTATTATTATAGCATACTTGAACGTAGAATTAAGGTCTTTGGAAGACAGGATGCTCAATGTATTATTATTATTAAATATCTTCTTTATCTTTCTTGTGGGAATCTCCATACTTTTGCGCAGAAGGTAAAAAAATACAGAACGCTGGCTCATCATGGTTTTATCAACCTGATTTTTATGTTATACACTACAGTAGTGTCCACAAACCTCAATCTTCACAGTTGAGGGAGGGGAAAAACATTCTTCTTGAAAGGACAAAAGACCCCAATCTGGATGAAAATAGTGAATTTACTTTCAGTTATTTGTTGAGGGGCTACAACTTTCCAGCGCTTTGTTGGTTTTCCTGCACGAGGTGGAATTGGCTTTTAAACAAACTTTCAACACAAGTGTTTTCTACACCACTATTGACACACTCTAGATCATTTAGGGGTGCGGACTCTCGTGGCCTAGAGGTAAAGGTGCTCGCCTCTTATTCAATATGTCCTGAGTTCGAATCCCGATAGCGACGGAAAATGTTCTCCTTTTACATGCTTTTCTGTCGTGTACTTTAGTCTCCATCTTCTGCCCCCACACACTTTTCCCCCTCCTCTGGGCTCCTGACTCTTTCTGCAGCCTTTCTACTTCTTCTCCTTGGTTCTTTCTTTATGCTGTCTTTCAACCACACCCCAGATCTTATGGTAGGTAAGATCTACACCTAATCTAGCCTTCTCGGACAAGGGCGAAAGATATCGGTCCCGTGGGCAAGTTGCGCACGTTAGATCTCTTGGTGGTCCAAAATCGACAAAGAGTAGGCTTTGGCTGCCACCAGGGCAAAATTCAAAATTTCCTACCAACTGAAAATGTTCGGTGTGTCCCGCATGCTCATGTGATCTGAGGCAGTTGCGAGCACTGTAAAAGACTTATCAGAAGAAAAAAATTAGGAGGTGGGCTTCAACTCTGCTTATCGGCAGGACCAACCCAGCCTGTGGAATACAATGTCCCACAAAGAGAAAGACCAATATATTCCTATACAACTGTACTCTATAAAAATTCTTCCAACATGGGAATTGAATTTGGGTCTTCTGCGTGTGAAGGTGAAGTGTCTAACTTTGTTTTTTTAAAAAGTCTTTGTAAGGTTTTTTAGTTTCAGTCTTACGGCACTTGCAACACAATAAGGTCATATAAGTGCCGAAGATTAGAGGTGTTACAAAAGAATAACTAACAAAAAAAAGAAGGAGGAGAGATCAGGATGATAGATGTTTGATAGGAAAAAAGGAGCAAACCACACCAGAGCACCCACCAACCACCCACTAGTAAGGTTTTACGGCGCTCACAACTGCATAAGGTCATATGAGCGCCAAGGGGTGAATGACAACAGCAGAGAAGTCCAAGCGGGAAATCAGGTCCACTCTGCTCACCTCTCTAGCTTCAACAGTACAAAGTGTGCTTCGAGTATCAACGCACCCCGGAAATACAATGTAGCAGTTCACAAGAGAGTGACAAAAATACAAAAGAAGTAGAGGAAAATTACGGTAGCAATGGAGAGGAAAGAAAAAGCAGAAGTTCCCCCTATACTAATCCGGCACAGTATGAGCATAACATTGATAAATCAACCCATTTACAATTCTACTGTGCATGTTAATATCCCCCTTTTAGGGAATGGCCTAAAGACAACTTCAGTCAGTATCACTGCCCTGGTGGGGGGGGGCATTAGGCTTTGTGACACCATGTGGTTATGTTGGTGTCCTCAAACAGTCTATTACAAAAATATATCTGAAGAAGTACAGCTAACAAGCACACTTCTGCATATTATTATTATGTCCAAATACTGGTGGGTACGGTATAGACAAATCAATCACCTCTGGGATAGTCAAATATTTTTGACATCCATAATTTGGGTAAACCATATTATGAAATATTATAAAGAGATATCACACGACGTCACTTTTCGCCCGATTCTGTTACTTTTAGTTCGCGTGACTCAGCAGCCCGCCGGAGCTCCCCGGCTCGGTGTCACGGGGTTAATGAGCTCTGAAGCGACTTTGCCGGTGTCGGTTAGGAAGTTCGCATTTTTGACTATGTTTAAAACGATATAACTTCTTCCCCATCCCACATAGCAAACCATTACGCGGATGTACTAAAAGCTCAATGTCTTGAGATTTATTCTGCGTTAGAATGGTTAATTTCTGTGCCTTAGTTTTTGTTCTAAACAATTGTTTGTAGAATACCCAATTTGTCCTATTTTAGTTACAAACTTATGAATAAATGATTGTTAATTTAAAAAAGGCACGACAGATCTCTCCAAAATCTGTGTTAAACTCACTACGAATATCATGTCTTTTACCATGAGAAATCTTAAATCTGCGTGAGTGGAAATAGTCAAGTTATAAGAGAAGAAAGATGCACATCTGCATTTTTTAACAAAAGACGATCAGTGTTAGCTCTTATTTTACTATTAAACAAGAGAAAGTTACTGTGCGTTTGTTCATGAATCATGCTGTGTCTGTGGCAGCCTACATACAACTAAAAAGATATAATATAGAATCTAAGCGATCAAAAAAACCACAAAACCGTGTAAATACATGGGTAGAGATAAACTTCTTGTAAGGAATAAAAACAATGACAGCTAACAGAACACATTCATTCTTAGTTTTTGTGTCGGAAATATGCGCGGACACAATTATGAATGTAAAGAAATCAGTCACATTGTCAGTTATTGCAAATGGTCATAGAAACGAAAAATAAAGTTGGAAAAGTCTGGTGCTGATTCAGTGTCCCTGGAAAGCTAGAAATTATTCTTATAACCCAATTACGAGAAGTCATCTCTATTATTCAGTCAACTTACAAAACCTAGACTTAGCGTTTTAAGAAAAGTAAGGAATTTCAGGAGTGTAACAGATGCTGTTCGTGTATTAGGTCTACATTGAAGATGTATTCTAGCACTAAAATCGATTTGTACTTTTCATAGAGAAACTTCATGGTGACTTTTATAAACTTTCGAGAAAATATGCGAATATTCACGATTATATAAAACACATAAAGTTGTATTTGGAGGAATTACTTCATAGCAAATTGTGTGCCCGATGGATAAAGTTGCAAAATTACAGCTTTCTATTATATGCGCAGATACCATCTTTTCTGAGTATCTGCACCAATGCTATGTCGTTCATGTTCCAAAAGTTCGACAGATTTTGATGAGGTATTTTTTTAATTGATTTTTTTTCATTTACACTTGTCAAAAAAAATTTACAATTTAGCATTGCCGACTCCAGCGCGTCTAACGACAGACAAGTTACAACGTCCGTTCTTTTTTTAGTCTCAAGAGCAAAAATGCATGCTTTGGGTGCACTAAATGAGAATTACCATAAATACAAGGATACACCTTAAATTGTACGTTGAAAAGTACCAAAAATTAAGTCGGCCCAGACAGAGCGGCGACAGGGAGCTGACCCCCGTGACCCCGATGTGATAAGGCGCCTGGCGGGGAACCCCCCGCGGCAACTAAAATTCCACTGCCGGTCGCCGTGATCAGTTCGCTTCCCTAAAGGACATCCTTGAACTTGGATTGTATGGGGAGTTTTCATAGCTCTCCACCAACATGGCCCTTGTTCTATTGGAGATGGATGATAAATTTCAAATTCCTGCCTTCTAAATAACCTTACAGTGTCAAAAGGAGCAATCATACATCAATATCCCCAATGGTGAAATAAATAATAAACCAAACAATTAAATATTAACATTTTCTTACGCACAGTAGAGTTGTAAACGGGCTGATTTGATTCATCAATGTCATGCTCATACTGTGCCGGAACAACAAAGTGGGAACTGCTGCTTTTTCTTTCCTCATCCGTACTATCATCATTTTCCTATACTTCTTTTATATGTTTGTCACTCTCTTGTGAACTGCTATTTCCGGGGTGCCTTGATAGTCGAAGCAGACTTTGTGCTGTTGAGGATAGACAGAGAGGTGAGCAGAGTAAGCTTGAGTCCCCGTTTGGACTTCTCTGTTGACATCCACCCCTTGGTGCACACAGGACCTTATGCAGTTGTGAGCACCGTAAAACCATACTAAAACTTTTTAAAAAGTTAAAAGCTACAAATTCAAAATGTTCACTTGATGTATATTTAATATAATATACATAATTCATAGTCACACATGTCATGATTATTTTTCTGAATCATTCGAAAACTGAAATACCCACTAATGGAAATGTGTACCACAAGCTAACACAAGAACAGATTGGAATGCTTTAACAAAGGGTTGAAAGGACTAAACAGCATAACAAGGCCAAGTCA